AAAGCGATGTTCCCAAGCCTCTGTTCTTGATCCTACTCTGTTCGTTTTTTACGCCAACAATTGTGTTAGTGAACCAGACTGTGTTGTCGGCATGTTTGATGATGATATTTAACTCTGAAGCGTCGTTCGAATTGCAGACGACAAAAAGTATTTGCAAGCGAACCTAAATCGACTCCAAAAGTGGTCAAAGGACTGGCTTTTGCTGTTCAATGAGAACAAATGCAATATTCTTCGAATCGGCAGGGCTCGCTCTCCGAACCATATGGCTTACTGCCTGAATGGTATACCACTACAAGAAGTGGACTCACAGAAAGACCTGGAAATATGGATTACGACCTCGCTTAAACCCTCACCGCACTGCACGAAGGTAGCCAAGTCTGCGATGTCAGTTCTCTTCCTTGTCAAGCGGGCTTTCTCTGCCTTTGATGAAGACCGATTCGCTAAAGTCTTCCGAACATTTGTGCGGCCGCAACTGTAATTCGCTATCCAAGCCTGGAGACCCTGGACCGCGGCGGACCTCAGAATCCTCGGAAGGGTTCAAAGGCGTGCAGAGTGCTTGAAGCTTGGATCTCGTTATGTCTGCTTCCGTCGAGATCTTTAAGAGGAAGCTGGATTTTCATAGCAGGGTCCACGGAATTACCACCCGACCTCTATAACCTTGACAAATCCCTTTGTTATTGTACTACTTGCTTCATTTCAGTAACAGTTCAAATTGAATTTCTTCTTGTCTTCTATCCCCCGCCTACGCTTACTGGCATGCAATTATGCAACTTTTATATTTTGAGATATTATTTATTTCCCTGAACTCCAAAAGACAATTGTATTACTGTCCGTACCACTAACCCTTTAGAGAGTTTGTCTATCTGTACAGAGTTGGCGCTTTTCCGATGCTCTGTCACCTTTGTGATACCTTTTCCAGTTTTTGAGATTTTTCAGTTGATTGTCAACAAATAGTGAGTTCAAAGGTGATGACTTGCATTTCCCTCATTAAAACTAAACCGAACTTCTGGACTACAGGAGAGAAAATATTTATGTGCCAGTCAGATTCTGGCAAATTAAAACCTCCTACGATCATCTTGACATCGAGGGAAGTCACTGCGATTTTTTTATTATGGTTGGAAATGTCTGCTTGTGACGGAACATTTACAGACTTCTCATGAGGCAGTGTTTCTATTCGAAATATTCTATTTTGCTTTCCGAAATAATTGTATTGTGGAATGTCTGAGTGATTTCACGCATCGCTGGTCGTGAAGACGGTTACCAGGCTAGGTAATTTAAGCACTGGCAGTCTAGTTTTGTCCGACGGTCTTACAGTTGTCGAGTTTGCAAGCGAACAGCAACTACGCGTCTGCCCGTGCATTTAAAAACACGAAAGTACCTATGTTGTGCTCACGGAGGGCGTTCGTACAGGCCATCGAAGTACTCTGGCCGAAGGCGAGTCCTGCATGTTCGTTCCCGCGTCCTCCTCTGCTGTGCAGCAGCGAAGAAACACGAGCACAATTTACTGTCACCATCTCCTTGCTTTCCTTCTGTTTCCCATCCCATTCCCTAACAGAATAAGACAATAATCACCCCCGATGTCTGACGTGTCTGAACGACCCAAAACCTCGTCCCAAGATCACGTTCACTGATCATTTTTCATTTTTAGCTGCTTTACCGTAACTTTTATTGCTCTGCAGGCTTGCAGATGAATAACTGATGACGCACATTCGCCGAATTTGATTTCTTTGGTATTTTAACTGTGTTTTACATCTCCGTTATCATCACTGTTCAGCCTTTTATCACTTGGGCGTTTGCTGTACGTAGATTTCACTTTTTCTTGGCATTTAACGCCTTTGTATTTCAAGTACTAACATTTGCACCGCAACCTTATTATCGCTGCGGTCAAAGGATCCGATAGTCCCACGAAAGCTAGTCTCCTATTTTGATCTTCGCCGAACATACCAATGCTTAGCTTTGTTCTCATCATCACACAGATCTTAGGAGAAAACGCAACAAGATATCCAACAGCTTTAGCTTATCAGACAAACCTTGTCACTTCACGCAATTTTTTCTAGGTGGATATTGTAAAGTAGCATCATTCGTTAGCGCTTCTGGTTTGCAAGCGCCCATTTTCCTAATGGTCGAATCCATAGCCCACGCCCATAAAATCGATTTGACTCTATATTTTCCGTACTGTCCCTTCTTCCTTTCCCTAAAAGCTGCAAAAATATAAGAAGAGATAAAATCAACCGACGCCTTTTCAGAGTTCGGAACTCTAAAAACACTTGAGTTACTAGCGGGGACTTCTTCCACTTTCAGCAGCAGACCTTTGAACTGTTGTTTTAGTTATCATGCGATGCCGGTGATTTCGACGTGTGTCCTCGCGGTGTAGCCGTGTTTGCGCCCGGCGATGGTAAGTTTTCTTTGCTTTGAGGCAGTTGTCACTCGCCATACGTTTTTCACAGTTGCTGTAAGTATCAATCACATATACTCCATGTTTCTCACATTATTGTTTGTTGGTAACCGTGTTGCATTTTAATGTGCAACATGCATTTTTACTAATGACAGTATGTATACATATACATAGATACATATAGGTATATACATATATATATATATATATTGTCACTCTTATTTTTTGTTGCGTGCATGTAGCGCTCTTTAATGTGTTGGGACATTACGCAAGGCAATGTCCCAACGCAGTTCTGGTAAATATGTCGACTTTTAGTGTTAATTATGTCCCCTGATATCAGTTAGTCGCCCAGGGCTAGACATTCGCTAGCCCGTTTGACCTGCAGGCTAGCGCAGAGTTAGTAACCTGGCTGGCTGAGTGCTCGATCTGTGCGAGGAAAGTAGCTTTTCTGCTACACCCCTCCTTGATGCTCACCGGAGTGCATTTTCCACGTCACACCTGAGGAGTCCTTTTGCGCGTACGCACGCACTTTGTCCGCTATTTCGGCTGCGAATTAAACCGCCTTGGGCTACAACGTCCTCAGCTCGTTTGAGAAGGCGCGTCAACCTACTGTCCCCGTGTGGATTGCTGAAAAATCCAGTCAGTCGAAACACGAGCCCGCGACCGGACTAGCCCTGGGCGAGCAGAATGCTATCAGGGTATGTTACTTGCTGATTGGTTGACGTGGGTGACTGCATTATGTTGCAGGGCAAACAATCAGAAGACAGTGTGCACGGATTTCTATCGCACAGTTTCATTACTGGACACTGCGAAAACGAGTTGTGGTGTGGACCGCGCGCCTGTCCGCACGGACTACACTGCCAAGTCTATCTTGCGTCACTATCGATTGCTCGCAGCAAATGCACCCGTATTTGAATAGGCTAGTAATTAGTACTGGTGAAATTAACTTTGAGAGGTGACTTATAGCCTGAAGTTGGCGTCCATAGTACCACGCCTACGCTATCATCGAGTTAGTTTACTGTTAAGGCATTGGTGTCAGCAACTTCTGCCAAGTTTATTTCATATCAGTTAATTCCAGTATATTGTGCGTTTCTTTACTTGATGTGGTCGCGACCATGGGGTAACCGAGGTTGGGTTATAGGCACAAAGGAGTCCGCTCTACGCTTTGGGGAATATTTTTGGTTAGTTTTACGCTGACCACCTCTTACTCGCCTCGGGTGAGTGGGTGGGATTGGATTTTTTATGGCAAAACACAGCTTGCCGAACAAATGGTGGGTAGTACATCCAAACCTCCGGCGATTTAAGGGAGTAACTCGAGACGAGTCGTGGTGAGTGCAAACTACCTCACAAGATGGCATCGTCCGTTGGCAAAGGTAATCTAAAACCTGTCCAAAATAATCCACAGCCGCATACATGTTTTAAAATTTCGGACTCCAAAATACCTCATTGGTATCGAGGGGATAGCGCCCCTTTTTCGTGTATGCCGTTGCTCCAACGAGAAGCCATTTGTTTCCGCCAGGGACCTGACCGTTTGGCCTTCTATATCCTCAACTTAACTTTAACTTCCGTAAAGATGAGCAAATCGGATGGACACCAATTACACACGTATATTTCGTGACAATTGGCGTCTTGCAGGACCAAAGGATCTGTCCAACTCTCCTAAATGCTCTGCGGGCAGGGCTGACTAAACTGTACCCGTCCTTCGTCGTCTGGTAGCATTGTAGCTCCGAACTATTTGAGAAGCTCCATAAAATTCAACAGGCGTTAATTAAAATACAACTTCTCAGGTTTGGGGCCCACAAATAGCAAAAATTTTTGCCGTGTGTGTGGTCAAGCTGAGTGCTGGTCTGACCTGGTTGTCCCTAGACTGTATACTCCAACTGTTTGTACACCACTACTAATTGGATAACACCAACCTGGCAAAAGCCCGTGCACGTGTCTCATGAACGGAACTAGATCTCCGAGACATCTTTGCTACCAAGATCTTTTTCGGGCAGTGTAAGTAAAATAGAAGTTTCGTGTTTGGGAGTGCCTGCAGCGAACTTATGGGTGCAGACTGGGGACGCGTAATGCTAATAAATTCTTGAAAGCTTATGCGATCAAAAAAAACTACAAGTGCATGGATTCGAGGATAGGGAAAAAGAACCACTATAGGAAGATAAACTATTATCCTCTGTACATAGTACGACTGTGATCGTACCTTACCTAGGCGACCTAGTTGATGTCGCGGGTTGTACCTATACGCGTGAGGACCTGCAAATGCAACTCTGGAGTCCGATTCACCCACTTCCAAAGCGACGGAGACTGAATACGATGGTCCCAGAACCACTTCCACGTCTTGACGAACTGCGTTTGGCCCGGTTTTAAGTTGGCCTCCTTTTTGACGCCTTCGGCTGAGCAGCGGCGCCGAATCAAGGGCAGCAACATAAGAATAACGGAACTGACAACGAAGAAAATACCCAAACTACCTCAGTCGTCTCTAGATGGCCCAAGATCTCGCGATGTTGCCGCAGTGAGTACTGACCGTCTCGTCCGAGACGCAGTCGGTGTACTACACTCGAGAGATAATTATTAAACACCGATGGTCAAATGCCTTCACTTTTAAATTGTTCTTTACGCGCACAGCACGGCATTCTTAACTGCTTAAGGGGATTGACCGGGCGGACGTCGGGTACAAGGGCATTTTTACGGCAACGGAGGTATCGCGCCGGACCCATAAACATGACGGCTCAGAGAAACCCGGCGAGCAGCATCGATTTTTAAAACGTTGTCTTTCCTGTCCACCCGGAAGCACCTTCGTCCTATAGTTGACCTTGCTGTCATTCACACGTACTGTTTGACCTTGGCATGCCTGTTTTTCGATCCAGCTCCTGATGACTTTTGTGCCTTCCGCTGCTTGTTTGCCTACTCTGCCAACTAGTGGTGAATATTTTACTTCCGTCTTGGTTGCTTGCGGGCGGACGACGTGTATACGGAACCGGAAGTTAGCCTCAGTCAATTAGCAAATACCAAATTATCCATGGACACCAAAGTTGTTGATCTCACTAGACCTAACTAGGTGCCAAGCTATGTGCGTCTCACATAATTTGGACGGCCCCCGTTGAGCGTTATTGAAAACAAACATACGTGGTGCGCTGGAACCTATTTACCCCCATCGAGCCGGATTTCTAACGTAACATTTATGGACAGAAATTGAGTTATATGGAGTCGAGTACATCCCCTTACCATTATTTCCGTTATGGCGAGCTGTCCGCTTCATTTGTAACTGCTAGTTAGCAAAATTCCCATTTAGGGTCTGCCAGCTGCCTTGAGGTCCATTATGAACTAGCTCCCTCAATTACAGTTAAAGGATACCTAAATGCACCTACAAGCTGCGAAATTACACTTCACCCCTCAGTAACCGCCCACTATACGAGATGCGGTCAAGTTTACTAATTTCGTTGACCGATGCAACTTATTTCTAACTTCGGATTTACGCCAATTTGGCAGTTTAGTAAGTCACGAAACCCTGAAGACCTAACGGTTCATATGTGACACACATTTTCTGTATAATTCTTAGTGAGATCTTACCATCACATCCACTTGTGACTTTAAGGCCGCAGGAAATCATCTAGCCGCCCTATAAAACCTCTGACCAACGAGCTACGGTTTAGTCGAATTCTTGGCTCCCGGAGGGCTGTGACCTGTCCAAGTTAGACTTGACAGAGGCGAATGACGCGGTCATGGCCAATTTTCCAGACATTAGCAGTGTCGACTTGAAATATTGCCACGGACATTAGTGGTTTCCTGCCAAACAAAAACAATCATCTGCATATTTTACCATCGCTGTTACTGTTGTTGTAGTCCTATTTTCTATCATCTGCCAACCTTTCTGATCATAACATCGCTTATTTACTGTTTAAATAGGACTCGGTTGACTATGAGAGCCTTCCTGAAGGTGTATCATCAGCCGTTCACATGCTGGCTGGTGCATCTGCCGGCTTCATGGAGCATTCAGTTATGTATCCTGTTGATTGTGTCAAGGTTAGTTTTCTTAACCCGATGATAACCGTCAATAAATCAGGATTGTCGACTGTTTTCGCTATCTACGTGGCCATTTCCCCTTGAGAAGCTGTATTCGGGTCTTTTGTGGAAAAATATACCATCTCTTTGCACATCAACCAACATCAATTTTGAATCTGGACGCTGATTCTTCGCTTCGAAGGCGTGTTTTGAATGAATGTGCCTTCATTTTGTTGGCTGTCATAAGTTGCTCACAAGGTACAAAACAGGGAGACGGCAGCCTTCATTACCTGACATTGGAGTCCATCTGACCGACGACACATGCACAAGTAGTAGGCATTAGTCTTTTTTGGGTTTTTCGGTAGCATTCGCCGTCTTTTGATGGCTCGCCGCTACGCGACTACCGAAATTCCAAGACCGCGGGACGCACATGTTCCGCTTTGCGATGAAATCACATCTGTTAACTCCACTTCCACGTGACTTCACCTAAGTCAATCATCTTTGACAAGGCTCGGCCGCCAGAGCATCCAGCTAAACCATTCGAACTTGTTTCCATCTATCAGGTGTTCCCAGCCTGAGTTATGAGTGCCTGTTGACTAAAAGTGACGAAAACGGTCTTCCCAGTTTCCTTCGTCTTTGTTTATCAGACTTGAAGAGTAGGTATATTCCTTATGTTTGGCTTATCGCGCGGCTCTGTTGTTTGTAACTTATTTCGGGCGAGATGTCCTAGCCAGTGCATTGCATGTGCAGTCTGTACCTGCTTTCTTTTTGTCCTGATGCAGACCAGACTCCAGTGCATCCGCCCATCCGGTGGCCAGCGGTACCTCAGTGTGTCCGATGGTCTCTATCGACTTATTAGCCAGGAGGGCTTCATTAAATCATTCCGGGGCATAGGCGCCGTTGTGGTCGGAGCTGGTCCTGCCCACGCCCTGTACTTTGCACTCTATGAGCAACTGAAGAGGCGCCTTGCCAGTCCTACAGAGTCAAATCATCTGTCTCATGCATTCAGTGGCGCCAGTGCAACCTTAGTACACGACGCTATAATGACCCCCGCAGATGGTACGATTTCTTCCCCTTTCAAATTTTCTACAAACCATTTTTTCGGATCTCCAGGGTTTTTTGCCGATTTTGCCCAATAATCTGCCTCAAGGCCTCATGGCAGCACAATGACAGTAGACGTAAACCACCGCTAAATAGATTTGCTTGTCACAGTTGCCCTGCAGTTAGATTTCAGCGAGCAAAAGAGCTAGATGAAATAACCTCGAACAGACACACCAGTACTCAAACTTTCCAACAAATCTCACGAAATACACCCTGTCTATGTTATAGCAGCCAGGGGGACTGATGCCCTCCACAATCCTGATCTAGTACTGCCGACGAATAGTATGTGAGCTGGTCTACACAGTCGAGGATAGATCCTCCCTTTTGAATACTGGAGTGTCTTAATGTCACCAGGCCTGGTACACAAAGTCTGACGGTGCGCAGTTTTCATAAGTGTAGAGTGGGTGTCTGCTGCCCACCCGAAGTTCTAACTTCAGACTTGGGCCCATGAGGAGTCAATATTTTGTGGGCCAACTCCCACCTCACTCTGTATCACAGTAGCCCACACGGCTCTTCTGGTAGATGCGGTATGACGACCGCCATTTTGCACCAAACGAACAATGTACTGCTTGTATGGTAACCAGTTAGTGATCGGCCAGCGCGACAAAGAAATCCACTAGAAGCTACAAGAGGTGATCGAAAACATGCCTCGTTGTAATCAGTTTATTGTCGCTGGGCGCCAAAATGGCCGGACTAGACGGGGCGACTCCTCAAACAGTCTTCTTATCGGTTGCCTTTGGCTTGATTCTCGGTGTTACAATGGTGAGAAAAAGTTGGGCTTTACTGGCGCTAACCGGGCAATTACCACTACATGCTTCAAGCATCTGCTGCCCCTGTTATCCAAAGCATGGTAGTACTAGTCACAATTACTGTGCTCTATTCGGTTCAAGTTCTCATCGCTGTGTTCGTGATAGCAAGTGCATGCGTGGTGACCAAACTGGCGACGCCTATGAGTCAGGTCATGTTCTCGTTCGCACACGCTCGAGAACTCATCCTTCGCCGACGCCTAAATTGTCACTTAGAAGACTCCTTGCTGTCTCAAAAATACAGACCAACACAGCTGCTGCCCCAGGCAGATAAATCCGATCTCACTTTACGACCCTAATCAAGGAATAAGGTAGTAGAAAGTGGTCGTCTAAGTCGCCAGTCTACAAGGCGGCTGAGAAGATTCTTGGATTCACTAACGGCACCGCAGTGATACGATCAGTGAAATAATCGTGCAGTTGTCCGCCCAGATAGTTGCAGCTAGGTGATTCCTTCCGCCAGCTACTGAAATCCACGGCAAAGTCGGTCAGAGACGACGGCAAGAACTATGGGCCCAAAGGGGCAACCCTAATAGAGCAGAAATCAGACGTCGGTGACACTTGGAAACCCCACTGAATCGCTCGAAAAATTCGTGATGAACCCTTCACACCGAGTGACCCTTCGCGATGTGAGCGGCGAAGTTTGGCCAAGTTCGAGTGCTGGCGTGAGCACTTTGAGCACCTTCTCGACTTCAGTAATCAACCTATCATTTCTTCGCTATATTCTGCAGTAGAATGTCACTCTCCAACCCAGGCAGTGTCGTGTGACCCCTGTATTAGGAACTAATCGGTAATGCATTACTAGCTCTTTGCACCAAAGCACCGAGAGAGGACGGTCTTCCCACTGAAATCTACAAGTTTTGTGCGGACACGGACGCTTGGCTTTAGGGATTGATTGCTCCGGCGTGGGGAGATGAGCTCGCTCGGGCATATTTATGCTTGTATTCAAGTAGACAGACGGAAAAAAGCGTGAAAACCATTTCGGCATATGGCACTTCGACGTTGCTACAAAAGCTTTTGACATGGTCATTCTTAGACGGCCTCAGTGCACGTGACTTGGGGACAAGAGCCACGCGGGATTGTGAGCTGGACGCGAATGCACAAACGAGATGTTTACACTACAACGCACTCTTAAGTTTAGTAATAACTACCAGAAACCGACGGTTGTCTACTTTTTATCTTCGCGACAGCTTTCACTTTCATTCATCGTGAGTCATTGTGACAACTTATCCAACTAGCTAACATTGACAAAAATAGTCGTAATAATGAGAACCTATCCTCGGTCCACCGCAGCACGAGGTCTGGTTCACAATAATCTTTCCCAACCTGTTCATATTCGATCTGGTGTTTAAGACGGTGGTGTTTTGTCACCAATCCTTTTCAACTACGCCATGGACTGAATTCTCAGAAGGACCCTGGACGGTTTCGACGGTGTCGAATTTGCCCTCTGGCGCCGGCTGACTGATCTCGTCGACGCTGATTATATCGCCCTGCTAGCCTCAGGCTTTGATAACCTGTAGAATATGGTGTTTCGGTTGGATAAGGCCATCAAATCAGTCATCTTATGCGTATTTGCTGAGAACTAGTGTTTCCGAGCCTCATTCCTGACGAGGAAAATGTAATCCTTGGGACTAATTGTTGTTGTCTTGAAATTGACTTTCAAAGACGTCAGTACGAAGTTGCCCCCGAATAGACAGAGTAAAAACAACATCGTCTTCAAAATCGATGCTGCTCACAGGGTTTTCATGAACCTTTCTGTCTGTGGATCCGATGTGATATCTCCATCGCCACAAAGGTACGCCTGGTCAGTTCCCTTATACACTTCTGAATACAGGGCTGTGCGCGTGATAGACGAGTTAAAAGTGGAGGTATTTGACCAACGTTGCCGGATATCATTTCTCAAGTGTAGATCACCGACTGCGTCTTGGATAGGAGTCCGCACTCGCTGCAGCGAGAATATCTCAGACCATGCAGGAAGGATGGCTGAGGTGGTTTGGGCGCGTTCGTCAGCCCCATGGATGTTCGTGTTAAAAATTCTTAGTCGAACCAAACCGTCCAAATTTTGTAGATTTTTCTCCCTTGTCCGTTTTTTTTTCATTTATGGCCGTTCCGTCCTTTCGAGACTTCAACTCCTCAGCACTGATTTTTGCGCCATTTGCATCGACGCCTGGCCCAGATCTTATTTCCTTCTCTCGTCCCCTCCCCCGGAAAATTTGTTGACTTGGTAATTCCTCCATCACTATCGGGAGAATTGCCACTCTTGATGGCATAATGGTGTACACCAGTAGATGTTGTTGATATCGAAGGGACTTGCGCCATTTTTGCCTTACTAACTTCATGCACACTGCATATAACAATCGCAAGTCAAACTGTTGGCTGCTTCAGTCATAGTTCACCAGTCTCCAGTCTCATCGAAGTCACTTAAGATGACAGGAATCGAATGTGGACTTGGCGACTGGGGCGGTTGGTCTAGTTTCTGTGTCTGTTACACGCATTCTGGCACCACTCTCTGCACAAAATCTAGGCTTGAAAAGGGGTGTGTCGGATCTCATTGAAAAAAAAAACTTGTCATTAGGACTACATTAAGAAGACGTTGCAACCTATTCCTCAGTCTGGAGGACCTAGTCATTTATCCAATAGGCAACCCTCGAAGCTGCGACTGTTTGCACGTCACGGTAGTTTAAAGTTCAACGGATTGTACCAGCGCATAGTTCGAATGAATCCATTTGGAGGTGATGAGATAGGGCGCAGCAGCTAACTTAACTCATTGCCATCATCTACGCTGACGACGCACGATGTTATCGACAACAGAGCCAAACTCTCGCGTCTGACGGTAACTCGAAACTGTGCCGCGCATATTCTAAAACCAATGGAGAGATAGTCATCGACTTCCCATGTAGTCTACAGTCTCTTCGACTTGCAGACCAAGAGTTTACCATGTAGCGCCTGATATCTTTTGACTTGCAGTTACTTTGACCTACCGTGTTCACTCCGTTTACACGCTTGTTTCCTAGCTCCTGACGACATATCCATCGAGGGAAACGGTGAACTAAGCAAGACTGGTGTTCACTTAATATGCCTGTTAACTTTCTCCTACGCGTACCTCATTTCTTTTCAGCTGTGAAACAAAGACTTCAAATGTTCAACAGCCCTTATCATAATTCCTGGGACTGCATCGTCCGAGTCGTCCGGACCGAAGGAATTTCAGCCCTTTACAGGGCCTACCTCACTCAACTGTCGACTAACGTTCCCTTCCAAAGTTGTCATTTCATGGTGTACGAATTCCTGCAGGATAAACTGAATCCTTCCCGGACCTACCTTCCTTGGAGTCACATTGTGTGTGGCGGACTCGCTGGTTCTATTGCTGCTGCCATCACTACACCCATGGATGTGTGCAAGACCATTCTCAATACACAGGTTGGCGTTTTTACGGATGCCTTCGCTCGCTTTTTTACGTTGCACACGGCATTTATCATCTCTTTCTTGGCATTTTTAATACCCTAATTAGTATCTTTGCTCATTGTAATTTGCTGATCAGTAGCCGTTGTGCTGTTATCGTATCTGGGGGTCGGCCTCCATTCCCTGTAGTCTAACTGCAGTCTTATTTTATTAATTTGCCCTTGGTTGTCGTACGAAAACAGCCCTTTCGAGAGTTGACTATCTTTTCCAATGTAATTTTCCGAAGGAGTAGGGTAACTGAAAAATGGTCCGTGCGCGTTTGCTCTGTCTTGTGGTAAAGTCGAGTTGTTTAGCGTAGACCGTTTGGCTAACGCAGTCCTCACTACCCTAGGCAGAAAAGGGCGACCATATTTATTCTTCTCTAATTGCTGGGTCATGCTGCTCATTCCGAATCAACAGCTCAATATCATTGCTGTGACCTCCCTCCGGCAATGTTCACAGTCTGTGCAGTGATGGGTAGTCAACAGAATTTTCCGTCCTCAGTGTACTGTGTGACTTGTGTCAAAATGAGGTCCACTTCAGGATAATTTCTGCTAATAATCCGCAAATTCTTCCCTTCAGCTTGTGCTTTCTCTTACTCTGATATTTGTTTAAGAGTTCTTACCAGGGCAAGTGTCCGTTGGGTGTTCGAACACTGCCGCAACAGGAACGCAAATGCATCCGCTGCATTTACAAGTACTTCAATCGGACGTTTTACATTGTGTGTACTCATCCTTTTTTAAAAAAACATTGAAGAAGGCATACAACGAGACTTGTAAGTGACCTGTGTCTTCCAATGGAACCAAAGTTATTGCGTTCTACTACTTCCTCGCCAAACTATGCCGAGTACTTTCTTCCTTGCGTGATTGCGTACGCGCGCTCAGCAATGGGCACGGATGGAATAACGGTAGTTTCGGTTGCGCGACTGAACCAGATTGGTTGTTCCAAAATAGCATCATCTGCCACCGCCAAACTTCGGCAGCTGCTCCTACTGGCGGTTTTAATTATATTAATGTCTGGCGTTTCTCTTCCATCTGGAAGGATGTGATTTAGGATTGTTTCAATGGCAGGAGGGCAATAAACGCGTGCGAAGTCATGCGTAGACGGGACACGAGTCACATAACCCAAATTCGTCTCAAGTCGTCCTAATCTAGCCTTACCCCTAGCGCATAAGGGGTGCGGTAAGGAACAGCGAAACCGATTCTGCTCAACTCATCTTACTATCATGCCACTCACTTTCGACTACAACCCTCCAGCCTCTTTTTGCTGCCGCGGAAACAGCGGAGTCCAAGCAGGCAGTCTAGGCTAGTTGTGGTCGTTACCCACCAGCAGGTAACAATCACTTTCGGCACCTCTGTGTCTAGGCGGCCCTGTTTTGGTACGCCCGTAATGCGTCCTTCGTGACATTTCACTTATGCCACATTTCGAAGTCCGCATCGTATAGGTATAGAGACCAGAACTGATGTGACACGCATAATTGGCAGCTTCATGCTACGTCAGCTACTTGCCTACATCCAGCTGGAGTTACTTCCATTTTGTCACGCCACTAGAGCATGGTGGATTTTTGAAGAGATTGTGTTGCTGAGGTCTCACGACAAGCTGGGCGCGGATGTGCGGACCGGGTGCTCACACTGAGGCGCATTCTCGAATCCCGCCATTGTTACCAACAAGCGACGACCGTTTGCCTTGTCGACTTCGTTACCGCGTTCGACTCTGTTCATCGTGAGTCTCTGTGGCGAATAATGGGACTGGATGGTGTGCTGACCAGAGTCCTCGCTATGATCAGAGCCTACTGCTGCTTCATCACTGCGCAAGTTCTGGTCCGTAACAATCTCTCCCAACCGTTCGATATTCGGTCTGGCGTTCGACAAGGTTGTATCCTGTCTCCCATACTTTCAACTACGCCATTTACTGGATTCTCGGAAAGGCCCCATACGATGTCGACAGTATTGGATTTCAACCCGGGCGCTGGCTGACTGGTCTCGACCCTGCCGATGATATCGCTATTATTTTTGGGTTTTGGCGATCTACGGTCAATGGTGTCAGAAGTGAATGAGGCCACTGAAGCGACTGGTTTACCTATAAACGCTGTGAGGACCAGTGTTATCAAGCTGCACCCCTGACCATGGAAAGGCACCCGTTGAGATTAATGGCTATCAACTCGAAGTAGACAGTTTGAAATATCCCCAGGCGAGGCTATCGCCGAACGAACAGAGCAAGAACACGATTGTCCTCCGAATAGATGCTGCTCTTAGGGTTCTCTAAAGCCCGAAAAAGTGTCTATGACGCGGCAGTTCCGTCGCCACGAAGATTGGCGTGTATCGTTCACCCGTTTGCTCAGTCCTTCTCAGTGGGTGTGGATGCTGGGCTGTCGGCAAAGCTCGACCCGGCCTGCCTCTCCGGCGTCTGTAACTAGTGTGAAGTAGAGTGAATGGGGACTAAAGGTGGCGGCTGCCAAGCTGGACTCAGTGCACTCTGCCCCCGTACATGTGTCACCTTACCGTCCACTGCAACCCCGACGTACACCTAAACCTCAGCTGTCTATAGCGTTAACCTTCTGTGCAGTCATGGCCGTAACCATCCGATCTATCTCGCTGTCAACTTGCGTCCAGATTTAATGTTGTATCCTTTGGTATCTCTAAGGACTTCAATCATCATCAAAGCTACAAAAATAAACTTTAGTAGGCACGAAATGCTTGTGAGTGGCTTCGAACCAAGCAGTCTCGAGTTGAGGAGGCGCAATTTACAATAGCATTCTTGGTTTCTTCACCTACGGTCAGCCGTAGCATTCAATTTTCGCGTAAACAAGCAAGTCGTGGGTAGATGGATGTTGGCCTATGGAACACTGGCTGTAAACATTTTTCGCAACGTTTTCGCCCAAGTTTTGCCGACTGCTTAGATGCGGTCCTGAATCACTCAAGTACGCCTGCACATCCCAGGACGTTCAAGTGACCACTTGATTGAGTGGGTGATTTTTTGGTTTAAAATAATACGTGTCTGCGTCTCCCGTCACCTACTACACTGCATTTTTGTTTGCCAGTGTTCTGCTAACTAGGGCTAAAATTGAATTCGTGTCCTATTTCGAAACTGCCGTTTTCACCTGTTCATGTGTTCTAAACTCCTTTTTACTCCATTGGCCTCAAATATTCTATTATTTCACCTAGCCCCAGGCCTGTCAGGAGGCTGTAGTTGGTGGACTCCATGCGACATCGCCAAAAAACGAGAAACCGAAATTGATCCGCGGTTTCCTTTCGGCTTGCCATTTCGTCATCAAAAACCATGGCTTCCGGGGTCTCTTCCTTGGCTTGAATGCTCGCGTTCTAGCCACTCTGCCCGGCACAGCTATATCTTGGTCCGTGTATGAGTACTTTAAATGGGTGCTCGTTCATGGCGTTGAGCATTCCTCCACCGCTGTGCATTCTACTCTCCCCTCTTCCGTTTCAATGGAGTCTCAGCCCCCGGGCTCCTTTTAACCGTAAATGCAACCTTCCTCAGCACCAAAAATGCCTGCCTCTCAGGGTCGTTGTCTGCTCGCTCCTTTGCAGTTACAAATCCCCTCCCTCACCCGTTTTACATAACCGAGCCTCACTTTCCGTTGTTTTGTTATGATAGGTCAATTTTGATTCACCATAGAAATACAATCTTTTGTTCTTTATTTATTGGGTCGTATTGTAGATCTCTTTACGCCTAACGACAATTAAGACTGTATTTACCCTCTCAGACACTCCTGTGCGCTTGTTTTTCCCTTCCAATGCCGCCTCCCCCGTGAAGGCTCTTTGTACATATTTTGTCAACAATTATATTTTGTTATTTTTTGGATCCAACAAATTACAGCTAAGAGCTGACTTTCCCTCCTCGCCTTTAATTGCAGCACATTTTCGTAAAAGTAGGCTTCTCTCCATCGTTGTCCAGAAATTTTATCAAGACGGTTGCTCGCCCGAAAGCTGTCGCAGCATCTACCTATGGTCTGCCTCATTGACTCCGTCCTCCCGCGTATGTTGTCATACTAAGCAGTGCGCTTTGGATATTTTCCGAGGCAGTCTCCGAAGGCCATGAGGACTGCGATTTTGCCTTCTGACTTTACGCTGGAACTCATATAAGTAAGTCAAGCCCCTTTATCTCGAAAGTGGACCATAGCTGTGCCGTAGAGAGCGCAGTGGTGAACTGTGCGGTCTTTAATTGCTGGTAAGGGAGACTGCCTCTGCACCCAGCTCACACTTTGTATCTCAAATTGCAAGACAAAACCTTGTGGTCGGAAGCAGATAGGAATTATGAACACGCATCCTTGGCCTTGACCGTTCGCTTTTCACGCGTATCCTATTCATCCCTACCCCCTTGAAGTGGACAGTGTCAGGAAGGGGGAAGAAACAGTGGATAGTTAACACGAATTTTCTACTGGGTCCCGTCCTGAAAACGTTGACCGGGTTTGCGGATTCGGTCAGTCGTCTCAAGGCGGTATTTTCGATATCTGCGTCCCTTTGCGGTGTCAATGGCTTCTCCACCCTCTAGCTGGTGCTGGTCGGGGTAGTTGGAGGATGGGAGCATACGCCTCGGCTAACAGTGTGGGGATCAGCGTAGACGGTAGATATTCTGTCATCGGCACGCCGGAATTAACACCAGGGTTAGCTGACAGTTTGAGCGTCTGGCGCTTTTCTCTTTCTACATCCGCGCGGCTGCAGACTTGGCTCGGATGTCGGCGCCGAAAAGCGCCAGTTCTAATAGTTGTCCCTCCTTCGAACTGCGGCCGGACACCTTCATCCCTTCTAATCAAATCTCTTATAATGATTTTCGCTAAGCTTGAAGGTTCAAGATCGAATGCGCTCGTCATACCGTTGTCTTTTTTATATAACATACGTCGAAGAATTAGGCAGATCGAATCGTTTGTTCAACTGCTACCTAAAAATAAACTGCAGGCAGTGAGCCGTTTGAGTCATTTGGTGTTGTACGGTAACTGAACAAAAGGCACGAAGACTTGGTGGGTAAGTCCATTTGCGTCAGTTTGGCTAACCTGTGTTCCAACTGAACTGCGTGATACGACATGGTGGTTAATTGCCCAATTTCATTTTCTCTGCAGTCTCTACACTATGCATCCGTAAATACCGAGCTACTGTCTGAACCGATCATTTCAGGTACTCCAAAGGTAGAGAAAACAGATCGTAACTTGTTGATTGTAGTCATTGAATGCCAGGAATTTCCGGTAAGAACTCCGTCGACTCATTTGGTGTGGGCGTCCGCCGCCACCAAAACCATGTAGCCCTGGAATGGTCCGAAATAATCAGTGTATACTCTCACGAGTCGGTCCAGACCCAAGGCTTCAGGGGCACCTTCGGCAGTCATCTTTGTTATTTGATACACGAGACAAGCTTTTACCATTGCTTCAATGTCTTGGTCGATCCCTGGCCACCAAGCAGCCACGGGTCAGGGCTTTCATTCTAACTGCATTTGAGGATGGCCTGTCGGTCTTGCGGTGGTACAACTATGCGATTGCCCCATAGCATGCATCCGTCTTGCATATGCAATTCCTTCTGACGATTGTAGGATGGTTGAGAATCAGCGGAGGAAGAGGACAACCATCCAAACTGCAAAGATCTTTTGCTCAAGTTAAAAGATGGTCTCCCTATTTCCACTGTGAGTTTACGGGGGGCGTTGAATAAGTTCCGCAAAAGATCCGCGGTTACAAAAACCAGGCGTCAGCCGCTACGTTTGCACCACTCGTGGCATATCTCATGGCATATGTGTAGGCAGAAAGAGCAAGTGCCTATCCTTGCATTCTTGGTGAGGACATTTTTGTATACCTCGTTTTCCCCCAACAAACCCAAGAGAGGTTATTAATCAATGTGGATCTCGAACGGTCAGTCAAAAAGATACACACGGAGGCGTTGTAGACCAAACAGTATTGCTAAGGCCTCTTTATCCGGTTGCGAATAGTTGGTTTCGCCTGGGATGTGGTTCTAGATGCAAAGACATTCGGCATCATGGCGCCAGGAGGCATCCGATGCATGCGAACCGAACCCATTCCGTACGGGGGCGCGTCAAATTTCAGTCGGATAGGACTTTTGGGATCGTAGTGAATGAGGCGAGGTGAGGATTTAAGAGCCGCCTTTGCCTGCTCAAAAGCACTTTGTTAGAGTTCCGAGCAGTTCAAGCGACAAATATCCTCTGGCGATAAACGGGCTTGAAATTTCAGTTGGGCTCTGGACTATGGGCATCCCGTATTTCAAGGGGTTCACCTTAGATTCCAAAGGGGGTTGATTGTAGGGGTAGTGCTGAGGCTGCGGTTAAGGCTGGGCTTGCGAGGTTTAGTATTAGGGTCGGGATTAAAATTAGGACACAGGAATAGGAACCCTTTGGAATTTATCACTAGATCGCCTGCAGTACTGGAGGGTCTATACTCCCATGTTCGACCCAGGATTGTAGCCGACGGATTTATAAAGACCGAAATAGGTAACCAACCCACGCCATGACCATAATCGACAAATATTACTGGGACACCGCGAAGTTTTCGTGGGTTTGGGCTGATGTTTTAACGAATGGAGGCCAGTTTTATCACCTTAAAGCCGAAGTATTCCACCAAGTTAGCAAGGAAATGTTATTTGTCTTTCCTGAGTCTGAAGCCGGCTCCTTCTAAATGTGCCAACGCTATGTTTGGAGTCCTCATTTAACTATCTTCTGATGAACCGGTTATTAATTTATTGCGAAGATATTTGTGAACGCAGATCATGTCCTTTATGAAGCTATCAATCGAGCATTGAAGTCAGCGGGTAGTAGAACTTACTCCAAACGGCAGTCTTTTGTATCGAAACAAACTTCAGCGCGCGCTGATTATTGTGGCGTCTCCAGAGTCTGTACAAATGACGTCTTGGCCGCAAGCATGTGCCAGGTCCCACTTAAATTATTGACCACTGGGGAGAAATACGCACAGACCCTCGATGCGCTGGAGAAGATAAGGAGTTAGCTTAGTTGTGGAGTTCATCTTCAACGTTCAGCCTCCGCAGATAGGTATGGAAGCATCGGAGTCTATTGGGACTGTCCGTGCTGAATATTATGCAGGTTCGATTATACCCGTACGTAATCCAATTCTTCGGCCTTCGATGTAAATACAAGGGGGCCTGAGCGGACTTTGACGAATCGGGGCTGAACATCTGGTTTAAAATTGAATTCAATCGATGCACGGTGGTAGTTGGTAATTGAGTCGTCATGGGACACAGAAGACATACATTTGATCCTGATCTGTCCGAGGAGACTTTGTCGTTGGCTTTCTCTTTCTACGTGGGCCAGTAAACAGTGGAGTTCTCCATTTTGTTCAAATTTGACCCTAAAGACCCCTCGGACTTCTAAGCTCCATCCAGTATAACTACAAAGAGTTGAGCATACAGGAAGGAGACGGGGAAATCTCCGAAGGGAGGCTTCGTTGATGAGAACAACAGCTGAGCCAGTGTCGATGTCAACCTTCCCGAGATGGCGATTAACCGGAAGCGTGTTGGTTAAGGGCGACTGTAGCGACGGGTCCGCTGAAAGCATTGAGATTATCGCTTCGTCTGTTCCAGCTGGTTTGGGGTAGGTGGTAAGCCTGTTTGTTAGTTTCCCTACGCTTTTTGATAAAACGTACTTGCTCGATATGGCCTAGTTTATTGCAAAACCCTCGAACTGTCTTCTGATGTCTGCAGTCTGACCAACGAATGTTATGCTGATTACAAAGGTAGGATTGTAGTTGTTGTGAAGGAGTTGATGGTTGTCGTTTAGGTGAAACAACTAGTATTGATGGTCAAGTCGACTTCCAATTCACGTTTCGGAGATGATATCACTCCAGTTATTGACTAATTCAGCCTCTGGAAGCGTCGTACGCGCTCCTGGTGATTGGTGATATCACGGACCTCTCTCCATGACAAATTCCTCTTCTTTGATAAGGGGTTTTCACGACTTCGATGAGCAAACCAACGATCAATAGCTGGAAGACCATTATATGCTCGAATTTGCCCGCCTTTTTTCAATTTATACCGGTAATTTTAGATGGGGAGAGCCTGATTCGTAATAAAATCGCCGATGTTTTGAGTGGATTCCTGATACATTTTACCTAACAAACAGTGGCTCGGTATGACGCTGTCTTTTCTGCCCCGCTGTGACTCCAGCTTGACGAATGCCGTCTGAAACTTAAGAACGTCGAAGTATGACTGTCCCAACTTTCCAAGATTGGTCCCCAGAATTTAGAGGTACCGTTCAGTGTAATCCTGGGCGGCAACACGAGAATCAGTTCAATATAATCCTCAAATGTCTTTCCCAATATTCGCCAAGAGTCATTCGATGTTTCAAGAGTGTTTTTCGGCCGGAAGGGCAATGGTTTAAGCAACACTGACGTGTACTAAGCACAGCAGACGACACAAGCTGACAACCTTAGAATACACGGCAGAGTATATGACATTGGGGAAGTCTCATAGGCTGGAGGGTGGTTAATCAACAAATAGGAGTTCGGAAT